ACCAGCAAGTGACTTTTAGACACCATGTAATTGTATGTCAATGGTCTCATCTGCGCATTTATCGAATACTTATTATTATAACTAGTAGGTATTGAATATCACTATTCTGAGAGCTTGGTGAGTGTTGACCCATTTAATCTTCATAATCTCATTTAATCCCATGAGGTAGATACCACAGATGAGGAAAATGAGAAGCCAGAATTTCAGTAACATGACTGAGGTGACACAAGTAGTAAATACAGTCATGCATTGCTCAACGACTGGGATATGTTTTAAGAAATGCATCGTCAGGTGATTTTGCTATGCAAACATCAGAGAGTGTACTTACACAGACCTAGATGGTATTGTCTACTACACACCTAGGCTATATGGTACTAATTTTATGGGACCACTGTCGCATATGGGGTCCATTGTTGATCAAGATGTCATTATGCAACACATGACTGTAATAGAAGTTTTGAACACACCATCCACAATCTTAATCATTAAATTCCCATGAGGGTTCTGTAGTGGGTCTAACTCTTAAACCACAGAGTTTCCAGGCCTTTAACGTGCATGCATATCACTCAGAGGTCTTGCTACAAAGCAGATTCTAACTCAGTAGGTCTGGGTGGGGCCTGGGCATTGGCATTTCTAACAAGCTCTCAGTTAGTGCCAATACTGCTGGTCCATGGACCACATTTTCAGTATCAAGGCACCAGACCACCGAATTTGCACACTATTTTACCAAAAGCCAAAACTGAATTTCCAGGACAAGTTGGTTCATGCTTAGTTCAGTGGTAACAACTAAAATCTCTGGATATCTCAGTCCAACAGAATTGAAATGAGATGACATTTCCTGAGCCTTGTTGGTGAATCTAGACTGATCTAATGTTCAGAAATTGAGATGCTTATTTTGATCATAAAATGTAGTTTAGTGTATAATGATTAACAGTGATTTACAGTCTATAATGCAATTCTTCTTAAATGTTGGGTTATTTGGTCTTCACAATAGACCTGAGTGGTAATGGAGATTGACAAGTGAGTTTGAGGAAGAAGACTCAAGGCAAGCGCCTACCACCCCAGGTCTCTTAGGCAGCAGACAACACACAGATGCCCAAACACTTCTCTTCTATTAGCTGACCTTGATGTCAGGTTAAGTTCCATTAACTGGCTGAAAGTAGATAGAGGCAGAACAATGCTAGTACTGGAACACCTAAGATACAGCCGCATTCTGATTTTGCTTTAAAAACACAGATAATCAAGGCCAAAGTGATTTGGAAGCATTAATATTAAGAGTAATTTTCAATTGTGATTACATTAATTTGAACCTGTCTAAATACAAACAACATAGCTGCATATATCATTGTATTATGTTGCTAAAATCAAAATTAAACTAATGAAGCTGTTTTCTTATCCTACTCACTCCCTTGCCTCAAGACCACCTACGGGGTGATACTTGTATCATTTTCTTCCCAGATTCTGTAGGTTTGGTGTAGCTGGCAGGAGACTAGTTATTTCATCTCTTGTGTTTATTTTAATGGAACTAAATATGTTGGAATTACTGTCTTCTCCATATGCAGATGTTATAAAATTTTATGAAACCATACTCAGAATTCAGAGTTGATCTCTAAATGTCAGGTGTATTTACCATCCTTAGAGGGCTAATATTTTCACAGGAAAAAAAAACAATCCCTTTAAGTTACCGTGGAGACAAAGTAATAAAGATAAATCAAAAAGTGCTGCCAATCACTAGGAAAGGAAAATACCAAAATCTCTACATGTAAAAACACCTGAGAAGAGACAGCAAAGATTCTTATCAAACCTAGGCCTTCAAATCTTATGATTTATAATGTTATTTTTCTGACAATTTTCAAAGGAAATAATACCTCCATTCATGAAAGAAGTGGCACCTCCTTAACCGTTATGTTGACTCCTCAAGATTGAAATGACATTAAGAGTAATAATGAGCTTGTTTTGGAAAATTGTGTTTTCTTCAAGTGTACACTTACCTCTAAAACTAAAGACTGGGTTCATTCTGAGCAATACTAACACTTATACTGTGGAACCATCATCAAGCTGTACTGAACAAGCTGTGCAGAGGTTCTCCACGGGAGCTGAGAACTCTGGTGCTCCCATCACACTGAGCAACAATCCCCAGAACCCCATCATTACGTAAGAGTGGGTGGGGAAGTCTCTGAAAAGTATAGTAGGTGTACTGGGATTGCCAATCCCACCATCCCGCGACATGATTTTATCATTCTATATCAGCCTTCAGGATCAGTAAAGGGACCGTCACAAGATCTGGCTAATAAAAAAATAAGTTCATGGGGCCGGCCTGGTGGCGTAGTGGTTAAGTTTGCATAGTCTGCTTCAGTGGCCTGGGGTTCACAGGTTTAGATCCCAGGCGCGCACCTACACACCACTTATCAAGCCACACTGTGGTGGCATCCCATAGAAAGGCATGGGTGTTAGCCCAGGGCCAATCTTCCTCGGCAAAAAGAGGAGGATTGGCATGGGATATTAGGTCAGGGCTAATCTTTCTCAAAAAAAGAAGAAAAAATCATGGAGAGAATCATTGATGACTAATTGTTTTCTCCTTCCATTAATTTTTGCTGGTGTCTATTCAGAAGATATGGACAGCACAAACATGAACAGATAATATGGCTTCTGTCTACCTAATTCACTTCTTATTGGCAGCTCCTTCAGGACACTCTGGTCCTTCTGCCCTCAGTTCCTCAAAGGCACCAAGCTCCTTCCAGCTCTCAGCCGTTAGCCTCACAGCTCCCTCTGCCCACAGTAAACACCCCCAGCTTCCCTCTTGGGTTCCTTTGTGACACACACTCTCATAGTGATGCATTTGCTGTAGAATACCTGCAATGACTAATTTGTCTAATTCTTCATTTAATGTCTGTCTTTTCTACTAAACTAAATGCAACACGAGTAGGGATTTTGCTAATTCACCACAGTATCCTCATCACCATTCACAGCTCTTGGCCCCTAGTAGTTCAGTAAGTATTTGTTGAATAATGATTCATGAACTAGAATGAACTCCTGAGGTACTGCTCATGTTTACATGCCTCATAGTGACTAGCAGACAATGCCCTGTGCATGTGGAGACAATTAATGTGTTGAATTTTTTAATGTAAAAGTAGAATCTTTTGAAAGGATAAATTGAGAATTGTCCAGATGCGATTGTGAGAGATTCCATCCTCAATGAAAGGGTTTCTTTAAAGGGAACGTACTTAAGACTTAGTCATTATGTGAGTATCTCAGGTCGAGTATTTCTGGGCTATGACTTGTAAGGATTTATTGACCAGTATCAGAAGCAGGATGCCTGGCTTCCCCCTACATATAAACATTAGAAACACATATGGGTGGCCAATTTTAAACTATTTTTATAGGTCACTCAGAAATTGCATCTTGCAGAGAATAGTGATTTCTTAGAGTACAACTAAATGGTTGTTCATTGGTGTAATGTGGAGTGTTTAGTGTCATTTTAAAATTCTTACAATGTTTGTGTTAGTGTCTCTTCTTCTGTTCATCCTGTTGGCCACTGAAGTTAGCTGAATAGACGTCTGATATTTAAATCATAATAAGTGAAAAGTGGGGTACTTTCTCTTAACACTTTATTATTATTATTATTATTATTTGTTTTTTGCTGAGGAAGATTTGCCCTGAGCTAACATCTGTGCCAATCTTCGTCTATTTCATATGTGGGTCGCCACCACAGCATGGCCGCCGCCAAGTGGTGTAGGTCTGTGCCCAGGAACCTAACCCGGGCCGCTGAAGCAGAGCCCGCCAAACTTAACCACTAGGCCATGGGGCCAGCCTCATATTTTTTATTTTTTAACAGCTTAAGCTTATCACCCCAAAAGCCACAATACACTGGGATATATGAGTAAAAATCAGTATCCAGGTCAGATATCACCATACAGTCTTCTCTTCACCAAATAAATACTAAATTGTGGTTCAAACTGTACTTGGAAGTATAGTTTGTCAAAAGATGTAATTTTTTAGAAAGCAGCTTCAACTTCTTCATCTAAGGATATTCTGGAAATGTGCTATGGATGGAACATTTTATTAAGTTATGAGAATTAAGTGCCCAGGAGAAAATGTATTATTACTTCTTAAAAATGTTTGAATAAAAGCTATTATTTCAAACGATGTATTCTCCATAGGTAACTGTTTAGCCGTTAGAAACTAGCTCACACAGGCTTGCACTTACACATCTTTGTTTTACTCTCCTTTATAAAGAAGACAAACTGGGAAAGAAATAAAATAAGATATTCCAATCCCAAAAGGCCAATAATCTTTTTAAGAAATCCATCTGCAAAAACTATTTTTATGGTTCCAGTAAACATGACAGGGAGTATATCCAAGAATGAGGCTTCAAAATGTAAGCTATGTTCAACTGTTTGCAGTTACCTTGGATTTTAACTAGGTGTGCAAGTTGACGTCTGACCATGGGGAATCCTCTCCATGCATGGATTTATGGATTGTTGAGGCCATGGCAGATAACCATTTCCACAGAAGCAACTTCATGTTCTTCTGAGGAAGATCGATAGCACTGTGGAACAAGGAATATAAATGAGCAATGCCAGAAGAGACTGCAAATGGGGTTACCAAAATACCACCCTCAAAAACAAACTCTGAAGGTGGAAAATATACATAGAAAAATAGGTAAAAAAATATATATATAGACCTTTTAAAATGGTTTCGGTTGTCACGTTAAGAGCACTGACAGACACTCAATAGCCATGCCATGTGCTTAGGCATGTAACAGCCAAAATATCTGTGGATTTCATTAAGTAGACAAGTTGAATACATTTGCTGCAAAAAGAAACATTTTTCAGCATTGCCAAATTAAAAAGAAAAATTCTGAAGTGTCCAAGAGGGGAAAACACCCCTCTTTATTCAAACTGTAGTAATAAAATATTTGGCCTTTAATCATTTCCTATTAAGTTATAATTGAAAGCTCCCCCTCCCCCACCCATAGTCACGCACAAACACATCAATTTTTAAACATTTTTATAATGGCCAAAGAAAGGGTTAACATAGACATGTTTATTAATGGAACTGGCCTTTTAATTCGTTTTTAATAAGTTGCTAAGCCACTTTAGCCTCAATCAGTTCCATCCCGTTCCTCAATCCCTTTCCTGATGTCTAATAGTTAATGTCCTGTACCATGAAGAGAGCTTCCTGTGGCACTTCAGGAATTATCTGTTCTGGGCTTAAATAAGTACAGTTTATAAAGTTCTCTCTCTCTTCTTCAGTCCCCACTAGGATTGATAAAGGCATTTTCAGAGGCAGGTGATTCTCTTCCTCTCTCTGCTCATCCTCCTCCAGCCCCTCCTCTTCCTCTTCTGTCTCCTCCTCTTCTTCTTCTTCCTTCTCCTCCTCTTCCTCCACAGAGTCAGCCTCTTCGACCTCCTCTTCATCCTCAGCCTCCTCATCCTCTTCCTGCTCCTCATCACACTCCTCCTCGTCACACTCCTCCTCATCATCCTTTTTCTCCTCTCCTTCCTCCACCGGCTGTAGGGTGGGGGACTGGTTCTCCTCGTTGGGGTCAGGAGTGAACACCAGTAAAGGATTGTGCGCATAGCTATACGAAGTTTCCCGCAGCTCCATGTCTTCCTCGCCGCCGTTGGGGGGCGCGTCGTTTCCAGAGGAGGCCGCCGGGGAGGCCAGGCCGCCCTCCCGGGCCTTCTGCGCCCGCAGCGCCTCCTGCTGGCGCTCCAGCTTCTCTTGCTGCCGCATGTCCTCGTAGATCTGGTTCATGATGAACTGGGTGGTGTTGGGCGGCGCCCGCATCCCGGGTGCGGGCCACGCGGACAGGCTGACGGGCCGCAGCAGCGTGTTCACCTCCGCAGGCGGCCTCTTCGGGGAGGGCCGGCGCGGGTGGCGGCGCAGGCCGCGGCCCCTGCGGCCCCAGCGCTTATTCCTGCCGGGGGGCCTCTCCCAGCCAGGGTTCCAGGGCCCGCGCCAGCAGGAGCAGCAGCAAAAGCAGAGCGGCTGCAGGCCGTACACCCGGATCACTTGCACCCAGCAGGGGGGCTTCCGGAATCCCGCCGGGGGTGGGCGCCAGGGCCCTCCCCAGCGCCCCCAGTTAGAGTACACGGCCCAATAAGGCCGTCGGGGTGGTTGAAACCAAGGGCCGGGGCCGTGCTTTTGCTTCGGCTGTTTCCTCTGGGGCTCATATTCGGCCTTGGGGCCGTAGCGGTGGCGTCGCTTGTAAATCGGAGCGCCTCTGCGCCTCCGCTGGCAGGAGGACCAGGTGCGTAACGGGGTCGAGGATGCCCCCCCAGCGCCCAGGTTAAGAGAGTCCTCCCTTTGGTTGAGGGTCTGGGTCATCGTTCGGGGAGCTCCAAGAGATCTAAATGGAAGCGTCCTAGAAGCTGCCGTCCAGTTTGGCCGGCGCCGACGGTCTGAAAAGGCTGTCTGTGCACGGGGCCACGTGCCTGCCGCCGGGCTCACGCCTTTCTCTCCGGGAGGGGCCCTCTTCTGCGCGGGCTCGCTCACTCGCTCTTCTGTCGGAATCTCTTGTCCTTCGCACTTGGGTTGTCTCACCCGCCCAGGTGGGTTGGGTGGGACTGGGGCTGGGTAAGGATGGTGGGGGAGGAAGGCGTTGGTGGGCGACGCGCAATGAGACCTGCTCCCGGGTCCCACTCACACCCGCCTCGGCGAGGGCGGGGCTGGGGACGGGGAGGCCGAGGTGGCGCGTTACTCTGCGGCTCCCTCTCAACCCAGGTGCTTCACCGTCGCCGTCCTGGCCAGACTCGGGGGGGGGGCGGCCAGCGGCAGCCTTTAAATACCGGCCAGAGCCGCCGCGTGCCCACCGCGTCCTTGGTTGCCCGGGGCGACAGCCAATTGGAGTTGAAGTCGTTCTCCCTGTGGCGGGAGGTGGGGATCCGGCCGGAACAGGGTGCCCTGTGAACGTTCGCAGGGGGCTTGTGACGCAGTTTTTGAGCCAGGCAAAGGGAGGCTGAGGCTGGGTGTGTGCCTGCCAACTCAGGAAGCTCTTGAGAGACTTTATTTGAACCCTTTGTACCACCTGGAGGCATGGGGATATAGAAGATGGCCCTTAAGCTGAACCTCGGGGGGTCGCGGTCGAGTGGAGATAACTTTACATCTTTAGGGGGCAGAAGGCGATAAAGAGGAAGCTCCTAGAGTCAGAAAACTGGGCCCCACTTCTTACCTTGTGGCCCATGCCTAGTCTTCTAACTCTAGGGAGCCGTGGTTCATCATACATAAAACAAGACCGCAAACGTTTATTGCGTGTGCCTACTGCGTGCAGGTGGGCTCATGGCGCATAATCCTAACACCTACACAGTGAGGTAGGCATTATTGCCTCCTCTCACAGATTAGGTACCTGAGAGGTTAATTTATCCAAGGTTGTAGGGCTAGTATTTAACCCTAGGCATGTTGAACCCCAGATCCCAAATTCGTAATGGCATTGCTGTACTATACTGCCCACCCACCTTAAATAGGGGTCTTGTGATGAGTAAATGAAATCAGTATGAAAAAGCACTCTGCTGATGGTAAGATACCGTGCAAATGCCTGTTGATTGAAGGACCGTTACCAGGATGTGTACCGTGGGTTCTTGAGAATGCAAATATGCCCGTTATGTCTTTCCTTTTGTCCCTTTATTGACTAGATAGCATATATATTGGGATCCTTAATACTGTTATGGTTAGGAATATGGGTTTTGATTTAAATAGATGCAAACCTACTCTGAATATTATATGATGGATACATGTCATTATACATTTATGCAAATCCACAGAATGTACAACATCAAGAGTGAACCCTAGGGGCCAGCCCGGTGGTGTAGGAGTTTAAGTTTGCAGGTTCCACTTTGGTGGCCTGGGGTGTGCCAGTTTGGATCCTGGCGAGGACCGACTCACCCATCATCAAACCATGCTGAAACAGTGCCCCACATAGAAGAACTAAAAGGACCTACAACTGGTTTATACAACTATGTACTGGGGCTTTGGGGAGAAAACAAAAAGAGGAAGATTGGCAACAGATGTTAGCTCAGGGCCAATCTTCCTCAAAAAAAAAAAAAAACCACAAAGAGTGAACCCTAATGTAAACTATGGATTTTGGCTGGTGATGTCTCAGTGTAGGTTCATCAGTTGTAACAAATGTGCCACTCTGGTGGGGGGTGTTTATAATGGGGTAGGCACTGCATGAGTAGGGGCAGGGAGGATGTGAGAAATCTCTGTGCCTTCTGCTCAATTTTGCTGTGAACCCAAAATTGCTCTAAAAAATCAAGTCTATTAAAAAAATAGATATGCTTCAACTTCAACTCACCAATTATTAATCTCTGTAAGCCTGTGGTTCCTTACTCATGCCATGAGTATGGGCACCGGTTCCATAAGATCCTATTAAGGGTTAAGTAAGGTACTGTATTAAAGCACTTCGTACGGATACCCGGTGAGCACTCAGTAAATGTTATCTATCATCATTATCATATTTAAATGCTTTAAGACTTTTAAAAAAGTTGATATAGTCTACGTAAAGATAATTAACCCTGTGCCTGATGCAAAAATAGGCATCTCACCCTTGTATCCTTTTCTTGTCCCACTTTTTAGAAACATTAAGGAGGTACTACCAGTCTTGATCCTAGAGAAAACTGTCCCACGGTATATCCCCTTATTACCTTCCTGTGGTGAGTGCAGTTGTGCAAAATGGAACACTACCTCCTGGGGACCTGAGTCTATACAAGCCTCCGTTAAATAATGGAGAAGCAAAATGTGGGAAAGCCTGAAGCTTGCAAAGGTTATTTATGCATTGCTGGTTGAAAACTGAGAACAGTATGGCAGAGTTCTTGGATCAGGACTCCAACCATTGCCATGGGACCTGTAGACTCCATGGGCTTCATTCAATTTCATTTGCTCTGTGGTTTGCTGAAGACAAGTCTACTTGACTCAAAGTACAGAATGTTGATGCTTTTAGCCTCTAGCGTCCCTTTCTGGATGTAGACTCACACATTTGGCAGTTCCTCTTCCCCTGCTCTGCTTAACTCAAATGCAATGATGATATTCCAGATTTGTTTTTCCAAGGAACTATGTAGTATATACAATATCAGGTCTTAATTGAGAGCTATAGAAATTGACCATGTTTCTGTAGTGGAATTCCCATCAATTTCTTCTTTGTTTTAAAAAAAGATTAACTCATGGATAATCAAGAACATCAATTTGTTATCAGTTGATGTGAACTTTATACAATTACTACTGGCTTTATACACTTTTTCCAAGGTGAGATATATATCTTTCATATTCATTCTCCCTATTAAAAAACAGTAATGCTGTATTGCCTTGCCTCACTCTTTCTCTTCTTAAGAGAAGCAGCAAATTACATTTATGATTTTTAGTTTTTTCGGTAGATTGACATTACAGTACAAATTGTTCATGTACTGGTAAATCACCCAAGAAAATTATCACCAGAACATGTTAAACACAACCAACAGGAAAGCAATTAAGGAATTTTTTAAATACATTTTCTTTTTTTTCCTGAAGAAGATTTTCCCTGAGCTAACATCAGTTGCCAATCTTCCTCATTTTTTGCTTGAGGAAGATTAGCCCTGAGCTAACCTCTGTGCTAATCTTCCTCTACTTTATATGTGAGTTGCCGCCATAGCATGGCTGACGAGTGGTGTAGGTCCGAGCCTGGGATCTGAACCCATGAACCCGGGCCACTGAAGTGGAGCATGCTGAACTTGACCTCTACGCCACGAGCCCAGCCCCTAAAGACATTTTTTAGTTGAGCCATATTCTTTAAATACTGCCAAATGAAATGTTCTCATTCAGTGTTAAAATACAACACATCATGTTTTTATACATTATATAGTTTTCTATTATTGCTGTACAAAAATTCCCAGAAACTTAGTTACTTAAAACAACATACGTTTATCTCAGAGTTTCAAGTGTCAGTGGTCCAGGAACAGCTTAGTTACATCCTCTGCTCAGGGACTCACCAGGCTGTAATCAAGGCATCTGGCTGTTTAGATTCTCATCCTGGAGCTCAATTTGGGAAAATTTGCTCCCAAGATTATTCATGTTATTGGCAGAATTTGTTTCCTCGTGGCTGTATAACTGAGAGCCCTGCCTTTTAGCTCTCTGTTGGCTGGAGGATGCCTTCAGGTTTAGAGGCCACCCACAGGTCCTAGGGGATAATAACAGTTCCAAAGATCCTTGCTATGGGCTTCCTTAACGTGGCTGCTCACTCCATCAAGCTAGCCAAGGTGATCTCCCTAGTATTTCCTAGCAGGATGAATACACACACACATGAATGTGTATCATAATTATGGACTTGACATCCATCACCTTTGTCTTATTTCATTGGTTATAATCAAGGCCCAGGTCCTACCAGCACTCAAGGAGAGAGGATTACACAGAGGGGTGAATGCCAAGAGGTAGGAAATCATTGGGGGTCACCTTAGAGCCTGTTTGCCACATATATCAAGTAAATTTAGTAAATATGTTCTTCATATTAACTAGTTACAACCTTATTAGGGAGAGTCTAATGGCATTGTTGCATTTTGAAATTCTAAGTGCCATATGATGACATAGGTTATGCTGTGCTTTATGTTATGCAGAACATTATGCTCTGAAATTGAAAACGCGCTGCAATCTTGGTGTTGGCTTTTGTGCATTTGTGTGACTTGAAAAGAATGAATTCTAACACTTGATGGCAGTAGTAACTCGTTCAAAATTCAGTCAGCAGGAGTCCCTATACAAAACAAACTTTGTTTGTATATTTTATCACAAATACCATATTTAAACTATTCCAAGTTGCCAATATTAATTACCACTTATTCTGATGCAGTGGAATTGGGCGTATTTATTATATTTTAGCCCTTTTCAATCGGCTTTTAAAAAGCAAACCTCAGCTAATTAAACTTAAAAATCTTTGGAGAGACATTGGGTATACCTGATATATTTGGTCAGAGAAATGAAATACAACAAATATTTTTAGATTCATCTTTGTAACCAATGCATTGTTATGGGATACAAAAAATAATATAAAGAGAACACATTTTATGCACTCTCAAAGACGCCTTTTTCCACCCTGAAGATACTCAGGTACAGTTAACTGAGAACCAGGAAGGTAGGAGCCCTCTAGTGGTCCCAGAGGCAAAATACAAGGTATGAAGCCTCTCCTGGCTTTTCAAAAGTGAGATAAAGGGATTCAAAATTACTCACTGCTTTCTTTTGATAATTTGGGAAGTTGTGGAGTTACTTTGCAAATTAGTGAGGCGTGTTGTGCATCAGGAAATACCACTGTGGTATTTTTCCATTTATGAAAGATTTAAGCAAATTATGAAGACAAAGTTAACTTTGTAATGAGAAAACTGCCAAGACAATGTTTCTACAGATTTCAAGAGAAGTAAGGATGTGAATTTTATACTCATAATAGTACTCTGTGTAGGTATTATTCGCTATCACCCTTTGAAAATATTATTAATCCTATAACATCTCAGGATTTTCAGAGGATTAGCACAACAAATTGTAGTCATGTGTTGAAAAAAACACATGTGTACTTGGTAATGATTAGTTAGGAATTTTAACATGGAAATGTTTGCTTATAAACAGTTTAAAGTAACTATATTATAGGGCAATGGAATGCAGTGTTCTCTCCCTTGAAAAATAACCTGTAATATTTAGAGAAAAATAAATGTGTGTAGCAAGTGAATAGGAAAAAAAAAAGTTAGATTATTAAAAAACTACTACGTTTAATCAGGGGTTTTAGATTTAAAGCTTTCAATTACGAATATGAGGCCTTTGAAATGGCCATTTAAACAGGATACAATTAGAAGGAATGC